TTGCAGGTGAAGGGACTGCCTCGCAGCAACTCGCCATAGTAGCTGATACTCACCTCGTAGTCTCCTGGCAAAACAGTTGAATATGATAAAGATGACATATGTCATAGAGATGACATTATTAGTTATGGTGTCATATTTGTTCAGCACAAAAATATTGGGCGGGGTGTCTCCGAATAATGAATTTATAATGCCAAAACGTTTACACTCTTTGCCTTTTAGTGATTTCCTCATTGGAGCTACTAGCAAATCGCTTGACAGCCATTGCTGATGTCAAAGGGAGACCACTCTTCAAACCTCAGAGGCCAAACCTTGTTGAAAATTTTAACAATAATCTTTATCAATAGAGTCACGAAAGTTATCTAAAAAACAGATAAATGTCCTTGCACATCACAATTAATGATAGTAAAACACAAAACAGTGTCAAATAATGAATTTCGGTACCAGCAGGTGGGTGTTGGAAAATCCAAAATGGCTGTTACTGACGGTATACGGTCTCATATTAGGTCAGTGACAACCATCTTGGATTTTTACTGACGGGCTTATCTGGGGTCAGTAGTTCTGCTCTCTGATTGGTCAATCTCACTTTGAGGCATAATAAATTATAAGATAACATATTAAAAGAGATGACAAATTATAAGATGTCATATTATAGAGATGACAAATTATAAAATGACATGTTTCACAGACAAACAGAAATCATACTCACACAAACACTTTCAAATGTGTCTACCAGGTCATTCACAATACAATTATGTAAAGCTGTATAGAGGCGGGTGCACATTGTTCACACATACATGACTCTTGATTTAATTTTTATCAAATGCAAACAAATTACAGTGATCCAGTAGTTTTTGAAACTCAAAGAAGGGAGACAACTCTTACATGGTTAGCTGTCACGTGCATATTCTTGAATGTCATTAGTTGTGTTTGTTTGTTTTGTTTGTTTGTTGTTTAATGCCGCACTCAGCAATATTCCATCTATATGAAGGCGGTCTGTATATAAACAAGTTTGGACCAGACAATCCACTGAGTTGTCAAGCTATTCAGTAATGTGATTTGAACTGCCAATAAAGCCTCTGCTTGTTGGTATAAAGACAACACTGAATAAACATCTGCAGTTTGTTGCTTATCGGTTCAAGACATAGTGAGTGAGTGAGTTGGGTTTAAAGCCGCTTTAAACTGTATTCCAGTTATATCACGGCGTGTCAGCTTAATGTGGGAGGAAAGCCCGAAGTGATGCAGGTCTCAGACGTTTACCACTTCGGTGAAACCCACGAGCACGGGTATGGTGCTGACAAACCTAGAAACATAATCGGGGCGAACCGTGATTCAAACCCACAATCATAGGTTTCTGGCATGCCCAAGGGATGCAACTGAGGCGCCTTAGATGACTGGGCCACCCGTGCCACCTGTTCAAGACATAAGTGTTACTCATCAATCAGACAGTTACGAGTCAATCGGACAGTTACTAATCAAGCAGACAGCTTCTAACCCAATCAGACAGTCACCAGTTAATCAGACAGCTCTATATGACAGTGAGTGGGTTTGTTGTATTTAACAATATACCAGAAACACTTTGGGGTACACCATGCATGCTCAGACTGGACGCTCACCTGGGGAATCACAGCAGAGTCAGCAACTGGCCAATCATTTTATAGTAAGTGAGTGAGTGAGTTGGGTTTAACGCCGCTTTTAACAGTATTACAGTTATATTGCGTCGTGTCAGCTTAATGTGGGAGGAAAGCCCAAAGTGATGCAGGTTTCAGACGTTTACCACTTTGATGAAACCCACGAGCACGGGTATGGTGCTGACAAACCTAGAAACACATTTTATAGTGAGTATGTAGTGTTTCGCACAACTTTTAGCAATATTCCTGCCATATTTCATCAATAATAGCTCACACAGTGTACCCACTAGAGATATCAAACCAGTGTCATAAGCTTGACATGCCTTTAACCATAAGGTTACCCACACACCCTACACCATAAAGTACCGCATTTGACGTAAAAAACGCCCGGGGCGCTCTCAAAATTAGAAATAGGGGGCTCTTATTAGAATATTATGTGTATTAAACGTATATAAATAAGTCTTTTTTCATTGATTAATAGGAAGGGGTGCTAATTGGGATTGTTCACTAGCCAATATATTAGCAAATATCGCCGTAGGCGCTTATAAGAGCGGGGCACTTATTCCGTCGAATATGGTAATATTCCAACTGGGCATCACAAGGTCCCCTACCTGTTTCTGTTGGAGTGTACTCCACCACACAATCGTCCTCATCTTTTTGTACAAGTTTCGTTGCTACTTTCTTTCCTGAGGGAGCTGAAAGAAATGTTAGTCCGAAAATAAATCTCTAAACTATCAACATGGCATTCCTATCAACACCAAGCCCTGACATCATGAACACAATTATCAAGATACCCATATCTTTAGACAAACTGCACCAAAGATGTTTCCCCAAATAAACAAGGCACTGTGAACAACCCATGTGATACCTTAAGTCATGCATTCTGAGTGACCTAGTGACAGTGAAATGAACATGAAATAGCTCCCCGTTGTCTGTCTCATGCAACATGCAACTGTGGGAAATTGACATGCCCAGTGTTGAAACATACATCCTGACCGACTCACTATATCCTAAACAATTACATGACACGGGGAGGGGCAAGAAGGATCTGAGGAAGCTTAAATACAGGAGGAAAACATTATTAAAGGGGGAAAATTGAGAAAATATTAATAAAGGGAGAAGGGGGGATAATTGTAAAAGCAATATCAAGAGTAATTCCATATTTTGTACTATTATCCTGAAAACAAATAGCACTTTTAATTGTGGAATATATATCTAATATTAACAAATACCTCGACATTAACATATGTTTAACACACAAACCCCAATATCCAGTTAAACAAACATCTAGTCTACATTTATTGTATATATCACCAAAACCTGTCAAAACTTACCTTAACGTATGTAATGAGAACATCAAAGGGTTACCATGGTTACAGTTAAGGTTGATGTGAGGAAGGAAAGGGTCCCCATGCCAGCCAGGTAAACAGACTCGACAAGCGCAAACCATCAGATGTCAATCAAGTTCGACACGGACATTAGGAAAAAACAACTTGCTAAGTGGTTACGGCGCGATTACTGGCATTATTAGCCAATTGGAAGCTGTGGATACATGTCACACTCTTATATGGAAATGGTTATCGAATGGTACTAAAAAAATATTACCAAAGCTTAGGTAAGCTATAGTTTAAAGAAGAAAACGGATCTTTCATCATGCAGACTGGTAGGAATGGAATCGACGGTCTTTCAAATGTTCTCATAGTTATGAAACATTTGATTTCTGGAGAAATATGAAATATTTTCAACATATCAGATTAAACATTAACTGAAATCAAACATATCATGGATGACCAAACATATGGCATACACCACCGTGTGCAATATACAACAGCTTTCCTCCTGGTAATTTACACAATTTACACATAGATCTTTGACAGCTGTGGGTGGTGTTTCATCTCCATCAAATACAACTTGTATCTTCGTCTTGTTAGTTTCTGTTATCTTCAACCTTGTGGCTCCACTTGGCTGCCTGGTGTTGATGCTTCATCACAGCTGTGTGGGTAGATTCAGAGGAAGACCACAGACATGGATGGAGGGCTCGTATTTCCTTGGCGTGTACTGATACATGTCCCTTCTCACATGAAGGAAATATTACAATTCTCGGCATACATATTGCTCTGTGTAACTATTCACCAGTCATGTAACAGGGGTCTTCTCATGATTTATGAGTGATGGAAATATGGAATAATGATGAGAATACATGACATTTAATAACCATAGCAAATACACAAAATTATGTATTATACTCACACAAAGTTTTCACAACTTTAAAATAATATCATCATACATTTTCATACATTTATCAGTATAGTGTTTTTCTACACACACTAAGACTGCTGCATGTATATTTACATATATATCATGTCCATTTGCTATATACAAGCGTTATCACTCAAAACAACACCCAGGAGGCTAACCCAACAGCAATACCTACCTATGTCTATATCATACAGGTAACTGATGTCTACCCAACACACCTTGTCTATCATATCTGCTATGTACACATGTCTATAGCTGTCAGTCAGCACACACATGAAGCACAAGGACTATGGACATGCAGTGTGATGCACCTGTCAATCATGCTACATTTCATTGTGTACTCGAGCCACACCAGCCGCCAATCATACCGAGCCACATGGAGCGTCTAGCGTACAACACACATCACCGTAGTGATATGTAACTTACATCAACTGCATCCAGGGAGACGGACATGCATTGCACATGCACCGTAGATAGGACTGCACAAGTTTCTAGGGGTTGCAGGTGAGAGGTTAGAGATTGCAGGGAGCATGCAGGTCGTTAGTGCAGGTAAGTTAGGTAACGTGCAACATGCAATATACACAGGATGATACACATTCATGTCAGCATCCGTCACGTGTCGATACCAAGCAGCAGAATTCCTGCATATAGTAAGCATGTTGCTAACAGAAACATCAGATATGACAATGCAGTTCTTGCCAGTATGGGTCCAACATCAGTTGTCTGTTACTAGGCACCACAAGGAGGTGTTTGGAATAAGCTGGGTGCTTATGGTATTTAAATCTAGGGACCCCAACTGTTTTACTTTTAACATTAACACTGCAACAAGAAATTTTGTCTTTCATGCTTAATTTTGAACACTGCAAAGAAATTACTTTTTTGCTGAGAAAGTACTGACCAGTGACAGATGCTATGTGAAATATTCAAATTCAAAACATATCAAAACAAAGGTAGAATTTCAAATGAAGACAAATGTCAAGGTGAGACTTTATGATATTACTTACCCACTTCTACAAATTAAAAACATACATACTTTTTTAAAAATAATTAATGTCTTATCCATTTATCCTCATGTTACGATAACTGGCTGTGCTCCACCATGTAGGTACTCACAGGTGATGTCAACGCTGACATTGCCGCCACCGGCACCACGGGTCTGGACATTGAAGCTGGCTGTCTTGTTGACTGGGACCAGGCTAAGACCATCGCCGGACACACTGACCATGCTGGAGTCCACAATCTCCAGAGTGTAGGGGGACCCTGTAACATCAAGGGGAAATGGTGACCCTGTAACATGTAACATGAGGGGGGTGTGGGGACCCTGTAAGATGTGGTGACCCTGTAACATGTAACATCAGGGGTGTGTGGGGACCCTGTAAGATGTGGTGACCCTGTAACATCAAGGGGATGTGGTGACCCTGTAACATTTAACATCAGGGGATGTGGTGACCCTGTAACATGTAACATCAAGGGGATAGGGTCACCCTGTAACATCAGGGGATATGGTGACCCTGTAACATCAAGGGGACTTGATCACCTTGCAACATCAAGGGGACCTGATCACCTTGCAACATCAAGGGGACCTGATCACCTTGCAACATCAAGGGGATATGCGACCCTGTAACATCAGGGGATATGGTGACCCTGTAACATCAGGGGATATGGTGACCCTGTAACATCAGGGGATATGGTGACCCTGTAACATCAGGGTTTGGGTGACCCTGTAACATCAGGGGATATGGTAGCCCTGTAACATCAGGGGATATGGTGACCCTGTAACATCAGGGGATATGGTGACCCTGTAACATCAGGGGTTGGGTGACCCTGTAACATCAGGGGATATGGTAGCCCTGTAACATCAGGGGATATGGTGACCCTGTAACATCAGGGGATATGGTGACCCTGTAACATCAGGGGATGTGGGGACCCTGTAACATCAGGGGATATGGTGACCCTGTAACATCAGGGGATGTGGGGACCCTGTAACATCAGGGGATATGGTGACCCTGTAACATCAGGGTTTGGGTGACCCTGTAACATCAGGGGATATGGTAGCCCTGTAACATCAGGGGATATGGTGACCCTGTAACATCAGGGGATATGGTGACCCTGTAACATCAGGGGATGTGGGGACCCTGTAACATCAGGGGATGTGGGGACCCTGTAACATCAGGGGATGTGGGGACCCTGTAACATCAGGGGATATGGTGACCCTGTAACATCAGGGGATGTGGGGACCCTGTAACATCAGGGGATATGGTGACCCTGTAACATCAGGGGATGTGGGGACCCTGTAACATCAGGGGATGTGGGGACCCTGTAACATCAGGGGATATGGTGACCCTGTAACATCAGGGGATATGGTGACCCTGTAACATCAGGGGTTGGGTGACCCTGTAACATCAGGGGAATGTGGTGACCCTGTAACATTTTCATTACCACATTGCCAGTAAAGCCATTCATATTCACTAAGTTTGCACAAGCGGCAACTGTTAAACTTTTCCCCAGCAACATATTTCATTTCTAAGTAGTTTCAGCCCCGATCTAGCCTTACCCCTGATCTCCACGTTATTGTAGTACATCTGCACCCGGTAGACTCCGGCGCCCTGGGGGGTGAAGTCCACGTTGTGCACCCCATTCTGTCGGGCAATCACCTGACTGGGGATGGTGACTCCGTTGTGGATGACGCTGACTGACAGCTCTCCCTCTCCTGCAGTCTGGCTGTCAGCTGTGAAACATACATCATCTCATACACATCAGCTGATAAACCATACATCACGTTGTCCAATTCAGATGATCCACACACTAGATTAAACCATACATATTCTTATACACATCAGATGCCCTTGTCATGTCATCAATGTAATGTAAGAATATAAAACTACAAGTACCCACCTGTGAAGCTGAGGGCTCGGCCCACGGAACCTCCCTCCAGGCCAAACACGTTCACCTTGGATGGGTCAAACGCCTTGACCACAAATGGACTGCCACCTATCTGCTCATTGTCATAGTTGACAAATATTCGATGGTCACCTGCAGATTGCAAGAACATACATAACAGTATGGAAAGTGCACGTAGGCTCTTCAAACAGTTTGTGAATAATGAAGTTTATATTTTCCTTACTGATGCATGCCAATAACTTGATGTGATAATAAATCACAGATTTGTTTCTTTGTTTTTCTAACCATTCAGTCACCATTAATATTCCAGCTAGAGAGAGAGGTCTGTAAATAATTGAGTCTGGACTAGACAATCCAGTGATTAACATCATGAGCATCAATCCAAGCAATTGGGGTAGGATGACCTGCATGAACCAAGTCAGCGAGTCTGACCACCCGATCCCGTTAGTTGCCTCTTATGGCCGGGGTTGCTGAAGGCAAATTCTAACAGGGATCTTCACGGGTGTCAGGGCCTGACAAAATGGTAGACATGCACAACAATGACAAGCAATGAACCAAGTCACCTGAATCAAATTAGTTGACCCAGGCCCAATCCTTAAAGACATAAAGATATCACAAAATTCAAACATGATTATACCCTGAAGGAATCGGCAGCAAAATGGTCAACCTCTGCAATGTTGCCATACTTGGCACATGTAATTGTAAGCAATCTGTAACACAGAAACTGTGCATACCGACTTCTGCAGGAGTGAAGTTGGCGGTGTACATGCCCTGCCTGTAGACCACGGGGAGGTTCATGGAATGGCCGTTAGGTGTCTCAACCTCCACACGGATATCTCCCTGGCCTGCTGACGATGTGTCCACCTAGGAACAGAACACAGGATGAGGATGAGGACAGGGCGACACTGGACACATAAGACAATAGATGGACATAATACATACTGCCATGTATACAGTCATATGGGATGCAAAGTTATGTCTGTTTGAATTATTAGTTCAGTTGCTACATGTTGTAGTTAACAAGAAATGAAATCAAACTTCAAATTGTCCATTACTGATTTTCTCCACTCAATGATTGAGTTTTGTTTCAAACAATCAAATCAGCTCAATAACTTGCACAGACATTCAGGGAGTGTGCGATGCCTTTTATATGATATTCTTAAAATTAAGTGTGCTGCTCTTGCAGGGCGTGTGGTGTGGTGTGGTGTGGTGTGGTGTGGTGTGGTGTGGTGTGGTGTGGTGTGATGCACAATACTGTCAGGAATAATCATACAGATTTTGCATCAGGGACCCCAAATCAAAAGACACTGGTCTACCATGCTCTTGAATATCAATGAAATGAACACCTACCTTCAATTCTGTAATGACACCTACGGGACACCTGTCCACGGGGTGGAAGGTGACCTTTGACCTGTCTGATGACACCTTGAATGGTATTGGGCAGGATGCGAGGGGCTCGTTCACACAATACACGTTCAGCTGAGAGGAGAATAGAAGTGGTGAAAAGGGAGACAACTCATACATACATACATAGCCAACATCCAAATAATGAAAAATACCAGCATTTATTTTTCAATAAAAAGCTTGATGCTTTCCCAACATAAACAAACACAATTCCATGATGACTAGAAAAATTTACAATGATAAAATTAGTCCAGAGATGGAAACTGATAAATTCTTTGTGATATTCACAATCACTATCTTAAGCACCCATCAATAAGCCCAGGGTAAGTGTAATTGGCTTCTGGCCGGGAATAAGCCCGGGGTTAAAGGACTCACCCTGTGCTGCCCCATCTCTGAGGGGGTGAATGACCCTGTGGCAGTGCGCCCTGACCAGTTCAGCCTCACAGGGGGGATGGAGTCAGGTCCAATGACCTCGGCACGGAAGTCTCCAGCCGCAACATCATCATCAATGTTCAGACGGAAGGTTTTCTATCAAAACATAGAGAATCATCAACATCAATACAGAGAGTATAGGCCCACTGCCAGAACTAGTACTAAATGTCTCAAAAATAAGTGAGTCCCTCCTCTTTGTTATCAGGGCCTGTGGGGATGAAACTCTATCAACTGCTAGCAAGAAGTGAACTGATGCTGATATACATAAACATTAAATGACTTTATTTCAAAAACAGTTTGCTATAACCATAACCCACCTCTTGGCCAACATAGACATTGCTGAAGTTCCCATCTATGATAGCCTTGTCTGCTAGTGACTTGACTGGCTTGAGATGGGTGAAGTATGCAGCGTATGCCATGATGCCGAGGTGCTCGACCTCGGGGTCAGACATCTCCTTCGCGGAGAGGATGGGTTCCACGCCGAGTCGCCGCCCACAGTCAATACCTGCATGAAATATAAAAGAGTCAGTTATAGGGACAGACAACACTGACAGCCAAGGGATTAAATATACAAGAGTCAGTCGGACACTTTCAGCCATGACGTGAAGTATACAAGAAATATACAAGAGTCAGTCGGACACTTTCAGCCATGAGGTGAAGTATACAAGAATTATACAAGAGTCAGTCGGACACTGACAACCTTGAGGTGAAGTATACAAGAAATATACAAGAGTCAGTCGGATACTGACAGCTAAGGGGTGTAGTATACAAGAAATATACAAGAGTCAGTCGGACACTGACAGCCTTGAGGTGAAGTATACAAGAAATATACATGAGTCAGTCGGACACTGACAGCCATGAGGTGAAGTATACAAGAAATATACAAGAGTCAGTCAGACACTTTCAGCCATGACGTGAAGTATACAAGAATTATACAAGAGTCAGTCGGACACTTTCAGCCATGATGTGAAGTATACAAGAATTATACAAGAGTCAGTCGGACACTTTCAGCCATGATGTGAAGTATACAAGAATTATACAAGAGTCAGTCGGACACTTTCAGCCATGATGTGAAGTATACAAGAATTATACAAGAGTCAGTCGGACACTTTCAGCCATGGGGTGAAGTATACAAGAAATATACAAGAGTCAGTTGGATACTGACAGCTAAGGGGTGTAGTATACAAGAAATATACAAGAGTCAGTCGGACACTGACAGCCATGAGGTGAAGTATGCAAGAAATATACAAGAGTCAGTCAGACACTTTCAGCCATGACGTGAAGTATACAAGAATTATACAAGAGTCAGTCAGACACTTTCAGCCATGAGGTTAAGTATACAAGAAATATACAAGAGTCAGTCGGACACTGACAACCTTGAGGTGAAGTATACAAGAAATATACAAGAGTCAGTCAGACACTTTCAGCCATGACGTTAAGTATACAAGAATTATACATGAGTCAGTCAGACACTTTCAGCCTTGAGGTGAAGTATACAAGAAATATACAAGAGTCAGTCAGACACTTTCAGCCTTGAGGTGAAGTATACAAGAATTATACAAGAGTCAGTCGGACACTTTCAGCCATGGGGTGAAGTATACAAGAAATATACAAGAGTCAGTCGGACACTGACAGCCAAGGGGTGTAGTATACAAGAAATATACAAGAGTCAGTCGGACACTGACAGCCATGAGGTGAAGTATACAAGAAATATACAAGAGTCACATTCAGAGCATCACACTTGGCTACAACTTGTGGTGTCACAATGTATGAAGTTCTCAAACTCTCAATACAAACATTGACATTTCCTTGTTGTAGACAGAACAGTTTTTGCTTTAACGAGGCAAATAATGTTATGACTTGTCAAACAACTGTCAATACATTTCTAGAGAATAACAAGCCAAGAGGAATGTTCCAGCAGGCCTTAGCAAGAGAGTAATTCATGAGGGTCAGATAGTCTCTAATTCTATGTTGCAAGTGAACTACTCAATATAACCACCGATAGTCTATATTTTTTTCTGTGAGAAAATGTAGAAATACGTTGATTTTTCGGTAATATACATGTCAACTGAACCAACAGTTCTAACAATATTAAAATGTGTCATGACAATTGTCAAAGACATTTTAATTTTTAGAAATAATTCTCTTATGTGACACTATATTGCTAAGTGCCAATACAGTCAAAAAATGGAGCAATAGGTATGAACAAGAGATAATAGAGAATAATATTCCACAAATTCACCAAAACACATTTCTTTAGTATATTTCATGTATATGTGTGTGTGTGTATCCATGAAGATACATTGTATATTTCATGTATAGATTCATGTGTAAATAAATCTATGAACTTACATTGTATATTTCATGTATATTTCATGTGTATCCATGAAGATACATTGTATATATTCATGTGTAACCATGAAGATACATTGTACATTTCATGTATATATTCATGTGTATCCATGCAGATACATTGTATATATTCATGTGTATCCATGAAGATACATTGTATATATTTCATGTGTATCCATGAAGATACATTGTACATTTCATGTATATTTCATGTGTATCCATGAAGATACATTGTATATTTCATGTATATTTCAAGTATATATTCATGTGTATCCATGAAGATACATTGTACATTTCATGTATATTTCATGTATATATTCATGTGTATCCATGAAGATACATTGTACATTTCATGTGTATCCAAGAAGATACATTGTACATTTCATGTGTATCCATGAAGATACATTGTATATTTCATGTATATTTCAAGTATATATTCATGTGTATCCATGAAGATACATTGTACATTTCATGTATATTTCATGTATATATTCATGTGTATCCATGAAGATACATTGTACATTTCATGTATATTTCATGTGTATCCATGAAGATACATTGTATATTTCATGTATATTTCAAGTATATATTCATGTGTATCCATGAAGATACATTGTACATTTCATGTATATTTCATGTATATTTCATGTGTATCCATGAAGATACATTGTACATTTCATGTATATATTCATGTGTATCCATGAAGATACATTGTATATTTCATGTGTATATTCATGTGTATCCATGAAGATACATTGTATATTTCATGTGTATATTCATGTGTATCCATGAAGATACATTGTATATTTCATGTATATTTCATGTGTATCCATGAAGATACATTGTACATTTCATGTATATATTCATGTGTATCCATGCAGATACATTGTATATATTCATGTGTATCCATGAAGATACATTGTACATTTCATGTATATTTCATGTGTATCCATGAAGATACATTGTACATTTCATGTATATTTCATGTGTATCCATGAAGATACATTGTATATTTCATGTATATTTCATGTGTATCCATGAAGATACATTGTATATTTCATGTATATTTCATGTGTATCCATGAAGATACATTGTATATTTCATGTATATATTCATGTGTATCCATGAAGATACATTGTACATTTCATGTATATTTCATGTGTATCCATGAAGATACATTGTATATTTCATGTATATATTCATGTGTATCCATGAAGATACATTGTATATTTCATGTATATTTCATGTGTATATATTCATGTGTATCCATGAAGATACATTGTATATAGCATGACATAGCGGACTGGCAGTTTTACGACAAGTATGATTTCATGATTATAGGATGGAGTCATGTAACTGAAGTCAGGTGTCTGTTTCAAAGAGAAGGGTGACCTCCAATGGGCTACAGACGTGAGAATGATGTAAATTGCACATAGTTGTCTCGGTCAGCCTGTCCCCGGGGCGTATATTGCAGCAGCTGTCACACAGCACATGTCTATCGTCTTACCACTCTGTATGTTGTCTACATTGTTGGGTGTGAGGGCACCAGGGCTCTGTCCAAGAGACTTCACCAAGTTGCACAGGTGGCTTCCATCATTCCAGCTGCTCTGAGGACATTAAAACAGATGTACATTACACACAATCAAACTCATCTAAACTTAAGGACACTTTTATCATCAACACAGACAAAAAGACATTCACCATTATACCCATGTAATTCTATCTAAATAGGGGGAACGGGTGGCCAAGTCGTCTAAGGCGTCGCGATTCGCTGGGCAGAGTTACGCCCCTTGGGCACGCCAGAAACCTATGATTGTGGGTGCGAATCCCGGTTCGCCCAGATCATGTTTCTAGGTTTGTCAGCACCATACCCGTGCTCGTGGGTTTCACCGAAGTGGTAAACGTCTGACCTGCATCACTTCGGGCTTTCCTCCCACATTAAGCTGACACGCCGTGATATAACTGGAATACTGTTAAAAGCGGCGTTAAACCCAACTCACTCACTCACTCACCTTATCTAAATTACCTAGACTAACATCTAGTATCTGATATGAACACATCGTACAGAAAAAAACCAGTTGTTAAATTATCTTTAAAAAAATATAAATAAAAAGGAGCCCAGAGACTCTCTTCATTTTCAGATACTGCAGTAATCTAGACTTGCCAAACATTATAGACTTGCATGGGCTGTATTTGATATATTTGTATCAGGGTCTGTAAGACAGACTATAAATAACCAAGAAACTAGTGACACTGTGCATGCAGGTGAACGTATTGGTGAGAAACTATGGCAGCAATGTCACAGTACAGGAGACATCATACAGGTGCAGGTGTAAGCAAGGATTATATCTTACCTAAATATTATCCTGGGGAAAGTTTTACTTTAGAGTATAGTATAGGATAGGATAAAACACACTGTTATGGGTTCAAATTCACTAAGGAGAATCATCCTGACACTAGAGAATTTCATCCCCGGGTTAAAAAATAGCGTAGAATAATAATCACTCTTACAAAGTCACCTCTACATCAATAATACCAAGAGTTCCTTACATTTGGATCAAGAAATAATGTTGAGATTATTGAAAATATAATCAAAACATTCAACCAGAACATGAAAACATTAAGTCATTAAGAATCTCAATGACATTTTCATGCAATGTCCAGAACAATCACTGACAAGTGTACGAGGATTCTATTATTTGAAATAATCAAACATGTGACTAGAGGTCTTGCCTGTTTACTACTACGAGGGCGTACACGATGGTGCTGACAGACCGAGAATCATAATGTGAATCCTGGTGATTTAAACCCACAATCACAGGATTCTGGCATGTCTAAGGGACAAAACTCTTCAAAGCTTAATGCTGCACCGTTAAGACAATGGGGCCATCCATGCGCCCACTACCACTAGAGAAGCATCTACATACAAGCAATAAAACATCAAACTGTCATCAAGAAAGCAGACTCAAACCAGTCATGTCAAAGGAAGAAAAAATTATTTCCAGTCAAAGATCAATTTGATCAAGTGAGTTCCCATCTACTTACAGTGAAATCATTGATTCTGCCACCCTGTGTATTGACAGCGTTGACGTTGCGAAGTGTGGCTGTGTAACCAGGAGAGTCGACGTTCATGAAGTAGGAGAGATATGTCATGCCGGACAGGTCATCCAGGTGAGGGGATGCCAGGTCTTCAGGGCGGACAACCAGAGGGATGTCAAACTTATCCTTGGCGATCATCATGGCATTGCGACAGTTGTCAAGTCTGAAACATAATGGTTGCATGGTGTTTATAATATTGGTTGCAATGTGTTTACAATAAAAATGTGTTTACTGATTGCAATGTTACATTACTGCTTGCAATGTGTTTACAATATTTGTTGCAATCTATAGACAATATCAGTTGAAATGTGTTAACATTAACGGTTGCAATGTGGTCACAATATTTGTTTCAATGTGTTTACAATAATGGTTGAAATGTGTTCACAATATTGGTAGCAATGTGTTTACATTAATGGTAGCAATGTGTTTACAATATTGGTTGCAATGTGTTTATAATAATTGTTGCAATGTGTTTACAATATTGGTTACAATGTGTTTACAATAATGGTTGAAATGGGTTCACAATATTGGTAGCAATGTGTTTACATTAATGGTAGCAATGTGTTTACAATATTGGTTGCATTGTTTTTATAATAATGGTAGCAAATTATGTGTTACAATATTGGTTGCAATGTGTTTATAATAATGGTTGCAATGTGTTCACAATATTGGTAGCAATGTGTTTACATTAATGGTAGCAATGTGTTTAATTAGGTTTGGTGCAGTGAAATGAATGGGCAATGTAGTGAGAACGCCTAAGGGATTGGATGACTTCAGAGGCTGTGAAAATTAATTCCACTTGCACAAAGTAATCACAGCCTTACACTAATCCTTAATGTCTAAACAAGCTTTTTAGCAACAACAAATACATGTAGTAAAACCTTTAGTTACAGACTGACAGGAGGCCAAGCTAAAAGAGATTTACTTGCACATGCAAACAAGTAGGATTCTATATTTCCAGGGGAAAGGCAGTGGTATAAGTCATATTTCAACTCCAGGTGTGTTCTCATACATACCTACATAATATGTCAGTCTACATTCCAAAGCTTAATTTAAATATCGTGATTGAGGATTCCAGGGGATGAGAGTTTAATTTCCCCTCCTAAATGTGTGTCTGGCAGGAGCCATAGGTACACTTTGTATACATCAGGTGGGGAGCTTTATGAAGATGGTTTATTTCTCACTCTGTATGTGTCAGAGTCGGTTGTGTGGTGAATATCTTATGTAGGTGTTGAGTATGTCTGACCCATGTTCCCATGTGTATTGAAAGCAGTTTATTTATTGTACATCTGAGTTTCATGTGTGTTTCTGATGATGTTTTCAGTATGCTTTGAGTGATTACAGTTGTGAGGGATGGGGTGTGGTGGGGTTGGGATGGGATGTGTTGGGGTGGGATGTGTTGGGGGGGGGGGGGGGGGTATAGCATGTGTTTGGGGGTGGGTGGGTGAAGAAGCAGTCACTTGCTTGACAGCATCTATGATGATTTCAATAAAATTAAGGTATTTAGTTTATGTTTGTAATGTATGTCTGTATGTTTCATGAGTGTTTTGAGCGAAATTGTTCATCACATGACTTGCGTATGTTTTGAGTATTTCTCATCATGATCATGGCCAGTGATTTCTGACATGTATTGTGGTTCTCGCAGAAAGTAACTATGAAACTATAAGCACCATTAGCTATAGCCCCAGGGGAGGCCTGTGAATATTTCCTAAATGAATCCTTCTTAAAGAAAGACAGACAAAAACATATTTTGTCATTCCTGTTCAGTAAAATAAATTGCAAAGAAAACAGATTTATCAAATATTTTTAAATATAATTATTTGCATCCAATGAAGTACAATTATTAACACTTTCATCAGCTGATGGTGCAAGTTAGTTCAGTCTACGCTTGACAAGTTGTTCTAAAAGGTGCATGTTTGAATATCATATTAAGTACACCTGCTTTGTGTCTAAGGCAGCCGAACGTACACCTATCCCAATATGTCGTATATTTCACCCTCACAGGTTTCTGTGTGGTGCTTTCACTTTCATCTATACACCCTCGTACATTTCAATACATGTACATAGCATGTATATTTCAATCACACAACACACTGTTCATGCATTCACTAGCCAGCCTGAAGCCGCTAGCACGTATGACCCGCCGTGTTGTCAATATACGCCATACCTCGTGTACACATACAGCTATGACAGACCAACAGGGCGTATATTGCAAATACTACTCAATTACACCGTGTCTTAACCGAAATCTCACAGGTAAACATTTGTCACCAACGCACACCTTATTGCTCTGAAACAGTGTTTTCTCATCAAACAGTTGTCAACATCTACTGTGACTGCAACCCAGTCAAATCTACAATATGAAAACTATCAAGTTTCTGAGTCAAATTTATTACAAGTCTGTCCACCTACCATCTTCCTCCGGGCACAACATGTGAGGAATTCAACTTTAAGGATATGACAACATTATTTAACCAGCAGAACTAACTTCAAACTGTTAAAACATTTTAATTTTTTAAATCAGCAAAATGACAAGAACACCAGTATACAGTATGAAAAGAAATATTTATAAAACTGTTGAAGATACTGTCATCATTCCAGTGACACACCCTTTGTTTCCATGCCAACAAATTCCTATACGTTTTCTTATCATACTTGTAAACTACATTAAAAACATATTGCATTTCTCAACAAGCTTAAATATGCTAATTTGTAAGACAAGTGAAATTTATATTATTTTTTTGGAGGATCTAACAAAATATTTTAGATTTTTTTAAGAAAGATTATTTCCTGCTTGGAGACAATCATCAACTTCGTGAATATTTAAAAACAAAACGTAAACATCTCAATCCCTGTTAACCGTTCTAAACTTGCAAACACTGGTTGTTATTTAGCTCGCTCCTTGAAATCCCGACTAATTCCTCTGCAATGGCCTACAACATTTAAGGGGCTACACAGCAAGCTCTTGTGTTTGCTCTCTGTGTTGACATTTTCCTGGTATGCCTCGCCAGCTCGTATGTCCAATTTGGCAGCAAACAGGTGATTGGATAAGCCAACAGAAATCTCGTGTCATATTTGATCCACTCCAATCTGCCCCATGCTTAACAAGTTTGTCTTATTTTTGCATTCGGACTACCTTGTTTCACACCACACTTCTTTTTGGTGTTCTTAACCTCCCTTCATTCTGCTAACAGGACATCACAACAGTGTCTTCAGACGATACATTGTGTCTTCTCCTCCGTAGCTGCCTTCATTCTGTTAACAGGACATCACAACAGTGTCTTCAGACGATACATTGTGCCTTCTCATGTCATTGAGCTGGGTTTCCTAGCTCCCTTCATTCTGCTAACAGGACATCACAACAGTGTCTTCAGACGATACATTGTGCCTTCTCATGTCATTGAGCTGGGTTTCCTAGCTCCCTTCATTCTGCTAACAGGACATCACAACAGTGTCTTCAGACGAGACATTGTGTCTTCTCCTCCGTAGCTGCCTTCATTCTGCTAACAGGACATCACAACAGTGTCTTCAGACGAGACATTGTGTCTTCTCATGTCATTGAGCTGGGTTCCGTAGCTCCCTTCATTCTGTTAACAGGACATCACAACAGTGTCTTCAGACGAGACATTGTGTCTTCTCATGTCATTGAGCTGGGTTCTTAACCTCCCTTCATTCTGTTAACAGGACATCACAACAGCGTCTTCAGACGAGAGATTGTGTCTTCTCATGTCATTGAGCTGGGTTCCGTAGCTCCCTTCATTCTGCTAACAGGACATCACAACAGTGTCTTCAGACGAGACATTGTGTCTTCTCCTCCGTAGCTGCCTTCATTCTGCTAACAGGACATCACAACAGTGTCTTCAGACGATACATTGTGCCTTCTCATGTCATTGAGCTGGGTTTCCTAGCTCCCTTCATTCTGCTAACAGGACATCACAACAGTGTCTTCAGACGAGACATTGTGTCTTCTCCTCCGTAGCTGCCTTCATTCTGCTAACAGGACATCACAACAGTGTCTTCAGACGATACATTGTGCCTTCTCATGTCATTGAGCTGGGTTTCCTAGCTCCCTTCATTCTGCTAACAGGACATCACAACAGTGTCTTCAGACGAGACATTGTGTCTTCTCCTCCGTAGCTGCCTTCATTCTGCTAACAGGACATCACAACAGTGTCTTCAGACGATACATTGTGCCTTCTCATGTCATTGAGCTGGGTTTCCTAGCTCCCTTCATTCTGCTAACAGGACATCACAACAGTGTCTTCAGACGAGACATTGTGTCTTCTCCTCCGTAGCTGCCTTCATTCTGCTAACAGGACATCACAACAGTGTCTTCAGACGATACATTGTGCCTTCTCATGTCATTGAGCTGGGTTTCCTAGCTCCCTTCATTCTGTTAACAGGACATCACAACAGTGTCTTCAGACGAGACATTGTGTCTTCTCCTCCGTAGCTGCCTTCATTCTGCTAACAGGACATCACAACAGTGTCTTCAGACGATACATTGTGTCTTCTCATGTCATTGAGCTCGGTTCTTAACCTCCCTTCATTCTGTTAACAGGACATCACAACAGTGTCTTCAGACGATACATTGTGCCTTCTCATGTCATAGAGCTGGGTTCTTAACCTCCCTTCATTCTGTTAACAGGACATCACAACAGCGTCTTCAGACGAGACATTGTGTCTTCTCATATCATTGAGCTGGGTTCCGTAGCTCCCTTCATTCTGTTAACAGGACATCACAACAGTGTCTTCAGACGATACATTGTGTCTTCTCATGTCATTGAGCTCGGTTCTTAACCTCCCTTCATTCTGTTAACAGGACATCACAACAGTGTCTTCAGACGATACATTGTGCCTTCTCATGTCATAGAGCTGGGTTCTTAACCTCCCTTCATTCTGTTAACAGGACATCACAACAGCGTCTTCAGACGAGACATTGTGTCTTCTCATGTCATTGAGCTGGGTTCCGTAGCTCCCTACATTCTGTTAACAGGACATCACAACAGTGTCTTCAGACGAGACATTGTGTCTTCTTATGTCATTGAGCTGGGTTCCGTAGCTGCCTTCATTCTGTTAACAGGACATCACAACAGTGTCTTCAGACGAGACATTGTGTCTTCTTATGTCATTGAGCTGGGTTCCGTAGCTCCCTTCATTCTG